CCTGTACATTTTCGTTTATTTCACTTAGCATAGCCTTCATTTTCATCTAATTTGTGACCACATTCAACCAATTCTGTGAGAATCCTGATTACCACTGTTTTGAACTGTGCATCTGATAGGTTGGCTATCTCTTGGTCACTTAGTTGTATTTTTTCTGAAGCTTTGATCTGTTCTTTTGTTTGGGCCATTTTTTTGTCTTGATGCACTTGTTACATATGAGGGGCAGAGCCTTAGGTGTTCGCCTGGGCAGGGCACCCCAGTCGCTGGGTTGTGATGTTGTATGTGGGGGTGGGGTCCGAGAGGGAACAATGGTGCTTGCTCTGCTTTCTGCCAGATTTCAGTCACTTCTACCACTTCCCCCAAGCAAACTGGGCCCTTCTTGTGCTGATTCCCGGGTGGGGTGGGCTTGTGCACATTCTAGGCCCCTGTGGGTCTCTTTAACAAACTCTCCTGTGAGTCTGGGAGTCTCTCCCTGCACCTCAACCCCCATTGGTGTTTTGAGGCTTTATTTCCCCACACTGGGACCCTAGGTTGTGAGGTCTGTCTCGCTCCCCGGTTTTGCTTGGTTTATCTGTATGAATGTGGGACTGCCAGGTGCGCCAGCCGCCTTCTGCGCTGTGCCCCTCCACAATCCGCCACCTCGCTGGGTCCGCCAGCCACTGCCTTGCATGCCCAGGGTCCACCAGTCATCCCTTTGCCGCAACCCCTCTCTGCCCCTCCTACCAGTCTGGATGAATGTGTCTACTTTAACTCCTTGGTTGTCAGACTTCCATACAGTTCAATTTTCTGTCAGTACTGGTTGTTTTTTGTTTCTAAATTATTGTTGTCCTTATTTTGGTTGTGTGAGGAGGCACAGTGTGTCTACCTACACCTCCATATTGGCCAGAAGTCTCATTTCTGTGTCCTTCCATATAACTTGGAAGGTCCTTCCACCACCTCCTTTAAGACAACTTCCCAAAACTCCACTGCCTGACTTAGGCATGTGTTTTCTATGCTGTTGACACTCTGGTCCTAGTCTCTAATTTATTTGTCCATCTTCACTATGGTATGAGATCACCCCCCCCCCGCCCGCCCCATCGCAGAGTACTATCACATAGTGACTACCACTAAACAATAATGAAAATAATTGTATTAACCTACATTTTCTGATCACCATGTACCAGATACTGTTCTAGGCACAGGAAATATTTTGTTTAATCTTCACAAGAATCCTTAGAGATAAGCTTGGGGAGGTATAAAAGTTTTGCCCAAGTCACATAGATCATGAGTGGCGGAACCAGGACTGGAACTAAGTATGATTCCCAAACTTAACCTTATGACAGCCAATGTTAGATGAACAAATGACTGCAATGTTCAGGTCATTAGAAACATTTCTGTTGGCTCAAAAGTTAGACTGGGAGTGTGGTAGAATATGTCAGCCTCTTGCAAGCTTAGTTAGTATGAGACCCGTTTTCAGATGATCAAAGCAGAGGGCTGTATTTTGCCCCAAGGTGGGACTACCCTGTGGGCTGTGCAGTCATCTGCCTGTCTCTGTTCTGTGTCAGTGGTGTCTCAAGCCCCAGGACTTACCATCTGCAGGTTCTTCCACATTATCATGCCAAGACATGGGTTTTCTGGTGATTGTGTGAACTAGAGCAAAAATAGTACCATAAGTTCATGTTAGAACATTAATTCCTTACTCTCTCTAAGACCCACCTTAGGCCAGTTACCCATTTAGTATTTTCTCAGTGTCTGTCACATGTCAGGTATTGTCCTGGGCACTAGGGAAAAAGACCCTCAAGGACCTCCCAGTCTAGAATGTCACTGTCCAGTTTGGTGACTATCAGCCACATGTGGCTACTTGAACTCGAATACTTAAATACCATAAAAAATTAATTCCTAAGTTACACTAGGATCATTTCTAGTGCCCAAGAGCACACTTTGGGCAGCACACATATAGCACATTTTCATCATTGCAGAATGTTTTCTTGGACAGCATTGGTGTTCAGGGATGCAGACATACCAGTCAGCCAAACACGGTTAGACAGACAGTGATCTATACCCAGGAAGCCACATGATAACAGAGGTACAGAATCCACAGACACCCACTTAGCTTGTAATTACAGGTACACTGCAGACAGGGCTATAAACAGAAAAGGCTCCCACACTCCCTGAGCTTCCATTCCATTTGTGGTGACCAACAATATACAGCTACATAATTCCAGGCAAATACAAGTGAGATGTAGAACAATAAAGTAGGTCCTGAGGGTCGAGAATTGATGGTGGAGTGGGAGTGGGAGATACATGAGAGCAGAGTCCTGCATAAAGTGAGGGCTTGTGCTGGGTGAGGATATAGAAAGAACCTGAGAGTGACCCTGTGAATTTGGGAGACATGTAAGAGGCCAGGGTAATTCAAGAGGAGTGAGCGAGGTAGAGAGTGGTAGGAAATAGGCAGAGGCCAGAAGGAACCAGTGGTCTCCAAAGTGGTCTTATCTAAAACTCCTAGTAAATAAAAACTTCTGAGCATGCACCCCTAATATAGGTAATTTATAGTCTGTTTATGTGATTACCAGTATATTAACAAAGCATTTCATTTTTCCACATAAAAGTAAACTTAAACACAAGTCCTAATATCTTCTCACTGTACTGCAATGGATCATATTAATCCTGTTTTCAAGCGTACAACTTGGGAGAGCATCGCTTTTCCTAGAAAGCCTGAAGGCTGCTGAGGGATTATTTAAATTGTTGGGATGGACCAAACTTAAACAGAACTGTACAATAATTTGTTTTCATGAAATTAGTGATTGGAGACTCCAGTAGAAAACCAGGGTAACTCATAAGAAAAGTGAAGACTTTATTTATTTTATTTAAAAAATTTTTAAAAAAATATTTTATTTATTTATTTATTTATTTTTAGAGAGGGAAGGGAGGGAGATAGAGAGAGAGAGAGAAACATCAATGTGCAGTTGCTGGGGGTTATGGCCTGCAACCCAGGCACGTACCCTGGCTGGGAATTGAACCTGTGACACTTCGGTTCACAGCCCACGCTCAATCCACTGAGCTATGTCAGCCAGGGCTAGAAAAGTGAAGACTTTAGATCTTCTGTGCTCACATGCACTCAGAAACACACACTGGGTAAACTGTGTGAGGAGGTGGCTATGCTACTTAGCTTGACTGTTGTAGTCATTTCACTATGTATATTAAAGTGTCATGTAATACACCTTAAATACATATAATTTTATGTTAAAAATGACATTACATTTTTCTCTATCGAGCTGGGCTGCAGTGAACTAGAATTAATTAGGTCTAGAAGTTGGGGGAACAAGTTCAGGAAGAAGGAACAATGTTTCAAAAGAGGTTGGGAATGACAGGATGTGTCAGGTAAGCCATTTATTTAGATGGCAGGAGAGAAGGGAGCATGTGGCTGGTGCCGAGTCAGCACTAAAACATTTCTCAAAGGAAGTACGTGTGGGTGGGGAGGGGAGTGAAGGTGAAGCTCAGTGGGTGGCACAGCCAGACCCACAGGGGTCCACAAATCCGCTCAGAAGCTGTGAGGATGGCAGGATCAAACTTGCCTTTTGGCATAGCTCTAGCCCCCAGTGTGAGGGTTAGGGGTGGGGTGGGACTTGGAGGAAAAGAGCAGTTAACAGCCCACCATATCACCAGGCAGAAGTAAGGAGGGCTCTACTGAGGCCTGGGGGTGAGCACGGACAGAGAGGCAGACTCAGGCACTATTAAGAGGGCAGAATTAAGTGAGGAGGTGGAGATGTCTCCACATGCATAATGGTGTGTTTTACCGAGGTAGGAACATGGGAAAGGGCAGATGAGAGAAATGTTAACCTGAGGACTTTAGATGTATGGAGTGAGCAAGGCAGTGATTGAGGATGACTCCTAGGCTTCCAACTTGGGAGAGTAAATGGCCATGGTGACTTTTGCAAAGACAGGATATTCTGGAGTAGCAGCAGGTGGGGAGGTGGGGGTGGGATGTGTCCAGTTTTGGAACTGGTGAGTTTGAGACAGATGGATTGTCCAGGGGTCCTGGACCTGGGGGGGTCCTGGGACCTGGGGGGTGTCTGGGCATATGGGTTTGGGGCTCCATTTAAGCCTCCATGGCATTCAGGGGGAGTTTATGTGAGGGTACCAGATGAAACCACCCAAGGGATGTGCAAAGTGAGGAGTGGAAGGCAAGGCCATTTTATCAGGGAGACACTATGGGCCCTGAGTCTACTACCCCTGAACTTTCCAAAGGTCTAAGACAAGTTAGAAGTCTGAAAAATAACCCCAAACTTTTTTTCATTAAAGACAAACCAAAACCACAGGCAAAAAAAAAAAAAAAAAAACCAAAACATAAAACCCTGCCCAATATAATTATTTCAAAAGCAAAATTATAAAAAGACTTTCAACTTCTTTACAACAAAAACATTTTACCGCGGCCATTCAAATATCTCTAATATATTTGATATAATATGGGGTGAGACGTACCTCGCCCCCTGGGTTGGCTAATGGTCCTGAAGTCTAGGCCTGTGGATGAGTTCAGAGAAGGCCCCTCCTGCTGTGCTCCGCCCCAACCCCGCCTCCCCCTGACCCGCACCCAGCACCGCTCCTCCTTCCCGCGGCGCCCCTCACCCTTGCGCAGGGGATTCACGTGATACTGCGTGTAGAGTTTCTGGGTTCGTAGCTCTTTGAGGTACAATTCCCGCAAGATCTGGTTCTGATGCACCTCATCTGGCACCTCCTTTTCCTTTTGGTGTCCAGCCATGGCCTTGGCCAGGCTGAGACGGACCCAGCTTCCTCTCAATGCCTTAGCGACTCTGGCGGAAGGCGGGGCCACCGGCGGTCTTCAAGCTTAGACGCCCCAGGTTGTCTCCAGGCAACGGCGTCCTAGGTTACCCTCCTCCCTTGGCAATCACCCTGTCCGGCCCCGCCTAGAATCGTATTCCAAGCTCCGCCCACTTGGAGCTCTGGCCTCACCTTCCGCCGCTTCTCTGGAAGTAGCCTGGTTACTAGGACCGCCCCTGGATACGGCCGGAAAAGGACTGGCAGCGCTGTGACTCACCGTGGCGGTAATGGGCTTATGATTGAACTTCATCTGGGCCGGTTATTTACTGCAAAAGATTTTGAAGGGGTCAGAAACCTCTCCTACTTTGGGCAGTCCCCTCCGGCCGCTAACTAGGTGCGTGCAAGGCGCCCGGACTCCTGCAGCCGCCTCCGTCGGACCTGGACCAGAGCTGTGCCCCGCTATGGCCGCTGCCCGGCACTGCACGCTGGACTTACGGCTCGGCGCCCAAGCTGACTGCGAGGCCATTTTGAAAAGCCTCCGGTCCGCTTTCCAAGAGCAGGGGATGACGGAGTCACTGCACACCTGGCAGGATCATGGCTTTTTAGCGACCTACCTCAACAAAAACGGCAGCTTTGCCAACTTGAGAATTTACCCACGTGGCTTAGTGTCACTGGACATTCAGAGTTACGACGGCGCTGCACAAGCCAAAGAAGTTGACAGTCTTTTGAACAAAGTAGAAGAAAGAATGAAAGAACTGAGTCGGGACAGTCCTGCGTGGGTGAAGCGACTGCCACCCATAGTTCGAGGAGGGGCCGTCGACAGATACTGGCCCACTGCTGATGGCCGCCTGGTTGAGTACGACATAGATGAAGTGGTATGTGATGAAGAGTCGCCTTATCAGAATATTAAAATTCTACACTCGAAGCAGTATGGAAATATGCTCATCCTGAATGGGGATGTTAATTTGGCGGAGAGTGATTGGGCCTATACCCGGGCTATCATGGGTAGTGGCAAAGAGGATTATACTGGCAAAGACGTACTGATCCTGGGAGGCGGAGATGGGGGCATATTATGTGAAATAGTGAAACTGAAGCCAAAGATGGCCACGATGGTAGAGATTGACCACATGGTGATTGATGGATGTAAGAAATACATGAGAAAAACTTGTGGCGACGTCTTAGACAATCTTACCGGAGACTGCTATCAGGTTCTCATAGAAGACTGTGTTCCAGTACTGAAGAGGTACGCCAAAGAAGGCAGGCAGTTTGATTATGTGATTAATGATTTGACAGCTGTTCCAATCTCCACATCTCTGGAAGAAGATTCCACATGGGAGTTTCTCCGACTGATTCTTGACCTTTCAATGAGAGTACTGAAGCAGGATGGGAAATATTTTACGCAGGGTAACTGTGTCAATTTGACGGAAGCCCTTTCACTCTACGAACAACAGCTCGGGTGCCTCTATTGCCCTGTGGAATTCTCGAAGGAAGTCGTCTGCGTCCCTTCATACATGGAGTTGTGGGTATTTTACACTGTTTGGAAGAAAGCTCAGCCTTGAAGATCAACATGCCCTCATCCTGTGTGCTGCAAATGGTCTTCTTGACCTTCATGTGCTGCCCGTGACATCGAACTGAGTCAGGCAATTGATGGTGAATTTCTTCAAGTTCTCTTTTTTAATCATTAAGAAAAGCAAATGGAAAATGTATATTTTGATGAGCTAGGGTGCTATTTGTTTTTTTGTTTGTTTGTTTTGAAAGACAGGTGGGAGAAGGCTGCTAAATGTACACCTAACCCCTGTATGGTGATTTTTTTACTTTTTAAAAATGTGTGGGCTTTTCTTGTTTTTTTGTTTTGTTACACTTTGAATTTGATTGTTTGTGGGGAGTGAACATATTTTGTTCTGGAGGGAAATTCTCTATGATGTTTCTTTCCCAAAAAGTTATCTTAGATATTAGCAATGCTTTGATTAAAATTAAAAATGATTTAAAAAGTATGAAAGAAACCTCCCTTACTTTAAAGCCAATACCCAGAATCAAACCTTCTGTGTCTATCTCACAAAACAGCAGGAGTCCCATAGCTGAGAAGACATTCTGGCCCAAATCATCCATGTGATAATATAGACAAAACTATCCTTTCCTAATTTAAGTAACTGGGGAGTTGTATAGTTTATTTTTTAAAATTTTAATTGTGGTAAAATATACAAAGTTCTGCCTTCTGAACCATCCTGAAGTATACTGTTCAGTAGGGTTAAGTGTATTCATATTGTGTGAGACCAATCTCCAGAACTTTTTCATACCCATTAAACAATAATTCCCCATTTCCCCTACTGCCAGCTCCTGGCATCCGCCATTTTACTTTCTCTGTTATGAATTTGACTACTCTAGATACCTTATATGATATAGTTTATCTTAAAAGAACCAAAAATAGGCCTAGCATAAAGAAAAGAGCCACCCCTGATTTTAAAAGTAAGTACCTAAACACTGAATCCAAAGTCTGTGTTCTTCCCCAGTATGTCCTTCCTCCTTTCCTCCCTCAACGCACTCATTCACTCATGACGGTGTGTTCCAGGATGCGTTTAGGTCTGGGGAACACAGTGTTGAACATGTCAGTTGTGTGAACATATATGCAGTTTCCTGAGCCCAGCAGGCGACTTCATGACTCCTTACTTTAGCTCCTGCTCTTTGGCCTGGAAGGTTCTTTCCCGCATTGTCTATCTGGGGAACACCCCAGTGTTTATAATGTGCTCACATGCACTCATCTTTCAAAAACCTTATTGGACTCTATTGCCAGTTTTTCTTTGTGCTATGTACCCCAAATCTACAATTATTAGAATGCTTTACTAATTTGTTTATATCTAAGTTACTTGAAAACAAGAACTATAGCTGGTCCATCTCTGTGTTATTAGTGCCTGGCACAATACAGATGCAGATGTTTGGTAAATGTTTGCTGGCTGACTGAATATCCAACCCATTGGCACCGTGATTTTCTTCGGCTTACATCATTACAGATTTCATCATACGCTTACTGAGTTGGAGATGCACCTTTGTTAACTTGTCATTGTGAACCATGCCTGGGTCCCTTTACCTAGTGAGGCTCAAAAAGCCTCCTGAAGTCTTCACCTCCTTCCTAAGACTGAGGGTAAAATGAGCCCCTCATTCTGCTAAGGAGCCACATTGTTAAGCTTTGGGACAACTAGCAAGACAGTTTGCCCCAGGCAAACTGACATTTTTTCAGCCTGGGCTCAGTGGTGCAGCCCTTCCTCCACACAGGGCTAGGGCTCAGAATGAAGAGGGGTTGGAATTGCTGTAGTTTCATCTCTCCACCTCAGCTCCATGTCCTTATGTTTTCCTGATATGAGCTCTAAACATACTTGTAGAACAGCCCAGCCCAGGGCAGGCCATCCCAGTGACTCTGTGGCTAGCTGCTGTTTACTTTGGGTCATTCCGGGCCATCAGTGTGCTTCTAAACTATGACACTATGCACTGAGAAATACTGAAGAGCTGAGAAACGTAATTGCCCTGGCCCTTTATCTTATCTAGTGTCTGAGATTACAGATTTTTCCTGAAGTTTCTGCCTTATCTTTCATTTAGGATCAGATGCCAAGACCCAGATAACAGGGAAATCAACTAGGAAATAAAATACCATTCACTTTTGCGAGAAACTGAATTATGCAGGAATTAACCTGACAAGGAATGCATGAAACTTTTATGAAGAAAAAATTAATACAACTGCATAACACAAAAATATCTTAATAAATGAAATAAACATTGTGTGCTGGTGAGAAAACTATGACAGAATCACAAACTAGGTGTACCACAGCAATATGGACAGACCTTTAAAAACAATAAACAAGAAGAGGCTAAGGTTTCTGATGTACTACTATTAATTAAAACTAGAAACAGACCAATCTATATGGTACAAGACCAGTTCTACATGGTATAGAGTTAATGTCTGTTGGGGTGAGGAGATTAGGGAAGCACAATAGAGGGTGAAGGTGTAAAATAAGACTTTTACTTTTAGCCACAGCAGAGGGACTGGGACTGAGCTTGACCTACTACAAATAGCTGGACAAAATACATGAAACAACTGTTTTCAGACATTGGATAATAAGATATGATCTCCACAATTGCCCTTAATTTCTGCCTGGAGACACTTCCTAAGGTAAGCAGGAAAGGGGAACCCAAGCTGAGGCAGGCAATATTGCCTTGTTGGGAGAACATAGACCGAGGTTCATGGAGTGTGAGGCAGCTGAAAATTTGTAGAGCAGTAAACTGGAGAATGGGGAGGGGAGGGGAGTGGAGGGGAGAGGGAGAAGGAGAAAGGAAATTTATAGCTTTAGATACTGGTATTAGGAGAGAAAGTACAATATTGGTGGATGAGGTTTCTACCTTAGGAATCTTGAAAAAAATAACAAAATTTAATAAAAATTAAGTAGAAGAAAAATAAGAGTAGAAATCAATTATATGGAAAACAGGTAAGCAATAGATAAAACCAAGAAAGTAAAAAATTGATTTTTTGAGCCCTGGCTGGTGTGGTTCAGTGGATTAAGTGCCAGCCTGCAAACTAAAAGGTTGCCGGTTCAATTCCCAGTCAGGGCACATGCTTGGGTTGTGGGCCAGGTCCCTAGTAGGCATGCAAGAGGCAGCCACACATTGATGTTTCTCTTCTTCCCTTTGCCTCTTTCTAAAAATAAATCAATAAAACCTTTTAAAAAAACCCAAAACTGTTTTTTTGAAAATATTAACAACATGGATAAACTTATAGCTAGGCTAAGAAAAAAAGAAAGAAGACACAAAGGACCATTTTAATGAATAAAAATGGGACATCACTACACATCATACAGACATTAAATGAACAATAAGGATATATTACAAAGAATTTTGTCAATAAGTTTGACAATTTAGACAAAATGGGTAACTTTCATAAAAATATAAATTTCCAGAGCTGAAAAAAGTGGAAAAATGTGCAATGTTTTATATCTATTCAAAAATATTTTTTAATTGAAAAACTTCCGCCCTGGCTGGCGTAGCTCAGTGGATTGAGTGCGGGCTGCAAAGTGTCGCAGGTTCGATTCCCAGTCAGGGTACATGCCTGGGTTGCAGGCCATGACCCCCAGCAACCGCACATTGATGCTTCTCTCTCTCCCTCTTTCTCCCTCCCTTCCCTCTCTAAAATAAATAAACAAATAAATAAATCTTAAAAAAAAAAGAAAAGAAAAACTTCCCACAATATAAAATCTCTAGGCCCTGATGGCTCTTCTGGTTAATCTGTCAAACATAGAATGAAGAAAATGTTTCAGAAAATAAATGGAGAGAACATTTCCCAGCTCATTTTATGAAGTCAGGACTGTATTGATACTAAAAACAGAAAAAATTATTACAAAAACAACAAAAATAAATATTTCTCATGATCATATATGAAAAATTCCTTAACTATGTATTAGAAAATAATATCCAGCAATATATTAAAAACAATAAATACATCATGACCCAATGGGGTTGGACAGATGTGCCAGGTTGGTTTATGTTTAGAAACGCCAGTCACCATATTAATGCACAAAGGAGACAAGCCATGTGGTCCTCTCTCTACATTTGGCAGGTGAGGAGGGAAGGGAGAAGGGGAGAACTGCTGGGGTGTTCACAGGAGATCCTTGCACCTTCCTCTATACGCTGCAACTTGTCCCAACTCACAGTCACAAGTCAGGGATTCTTGAGAAGCACTTAAACAAAAAAAGCAACAAAAACCCACAATCTTTTTATTGTGAAACATCACACATACAACAGGAAAGTGCTTTCTTCCAAAATGTAGTTCACACGGATTTACCACAAAGTACACCTAGTTCACCACCATCACACAAGCCCAGAAATAGAACAGGAACTACCCTCAGGAAGTCTCTCTCATGCCCCTTCTCAAACACTGCTTTCTTCTTTCTCCTCAAATGTAACCACTATCTTTAATTCCATAGGTTATAGTTTATAGGTTTAGCACTTTGTGTGGGAGGATTCATACAGTGTGCATGCTTTTGTGTTTAGCTTCTTTTCACCAACATTATGTTTGTGAAATTCACCTGTGCTGCTGCATAGATCTGTGGTTTCATCACGTTCATTATAGTATAGTATTCCCTTTTCTGACTAAACCACAATTTATTTATGGATGCTACTACAGATGACCCTGCGTTGTTTCAGTAAGGACTATTACCAATAACGCTGCATGAACATTTTTGTAGATAGCTCTTACTGCACATGTACAAACATTTTGGTGGCTATATACTTAGAAGTGGAATTGCTGCTTTTAGTAGATGATACTCTACTTTTTACCTTAGGCATAGTGGAAATGCCTATGGTTCACTTTTAGTAGATGATACCAACTGTTTTGCAGAATAGTAGAGTTGATATATTACTCTACTACTACTAGGGTTCTTATTGCTCCACATTCTTGCCAACACATGATAATTCTCTTTTTAATCACAGCCTTCTGATAGGTATGTAGTAACAATTCATGGTTTTAACTTGCATTTTCCTATTGACTCGTATGGTTGACCAAGTTTTGTGGGGTTTTTTTTTGGTGCGTGTATGTGTATTGGTTATTGGATAGCCTCTTTTGTGAAGTGCCTCTTTCAAATATTTTCTTATTTTTCTCTTGGATTGATAGTATTTTGTTAATCAATTTGTTGGAGTTCTGTATATTAATATATTGTTGATATAGGCCCTTTCAGAGTTGTATGGCTGCAATTTATCTCCCTATTGTATGACTTGTCTTCTTAGTCCCTTAATGGTGTATTTTGACAACTGCAAGATACTTAATAGTGTCTCCTTTACATTTAATTTACATGTATATTACCTTTACCTTTACATTTAATACATTTGTGGTCTAATGTATTAGTCCTTCCTTTTATGGTTAGTGCTTTCTAAATGCCACTTAAGACATTTTTCCTAATTTCATATGGGAAAACATTTTCTTATAATACCTTCTAGATCTTTGCTGTTTAATAAGAAATATAAAGAAAGCTACATATGTAGTTTAAAATTTTCTGATATCTAAGTAAAAGAGCAAAACAAAACATAATTAAGTTTTAAATATTTAACTCAATATATCCAACTTATTTTAACAATTGAATATAAAAATTATTGAGATTTTTAAATATACTTAGTGTTTAAGGGTTTTGTATTTATTTATTTTTAGAGAGAGGGGAAGGAAGGAAGGAGAAAGAGAGCAACAGAAACATCAGTTGGTTGCCTCTCACGCTCCCCAAACTGGGGACCTGGCCCATAACACAAGTGTGTGCCCTGACTGGGTATCAAACCAGTGACCTCCCGGTTCACAGGCTGGCACTCAATCCACTGAGCCATGCCAGTCAGGGCTGAGTGATTAAAATCCAGTAAAAAGTTTACATTTAATAGCACATCTCAAGTGTTCAATAGCCAGGCACAACCACAGCAATTCTGGAAGAGTTCATTATTTTTACCCTTCACATTTGGGTCTGTTTTCATGAAACTGAATTTTGATAGTAGTGCAGTCTAGAATTACAGGTAAATGTTGTTTTTTTTTCTTGAGAGTTTCCAATTGACGCAGAACCAATTTACCAAAAAGACAGTTGTATCCCTACTGTTTCATTATGTTATCTTTGTCTTAAAGCAAATGTCCACACACGTGCGAGTCTGTTTCTGGACTCAAGTCTGTGTCATTTGTCTTTTGTCTGTGCTGGCACCGTTACTACATCATGTTAATTCCTGTAATTTTTGTGGTAAGTTCTGATACTTGTTCAGGAAATGGTTCCTCCTAGAGAGAGCCTTGGTTATTCTGAAACTTTCCTTTCCATATAAATTATCGTCAGCTTGTGAAGTCACCCCAAACTACGTGTTAGAAGTTTGATTGAGATT